TTTATACGGCTCCGGTCTTTCCAGAATATTCCTAGCGTATGGCCTGCTCCCACACATTCTGGAATAATCTTGACTACGCCAACTGCGCCTGCTATGTGGGTGGTCACCTGGCTTTCTTGGCTCACGGCGTAAGCGTGGGCGTCTGGCATGACGGCGTGACGTACCCCGGGCGGCCCTTTTCGCCGACTGCTGTGAATACACGGGGCTCCCGCCTCCGTAAGAACCCTCAAACTCCATCTTCCCTCTTCTGCAATGGTAACTAGGACGACCTTAATCTGACAGGTGGTTGTCCCTTTTTGATGATCCCTACCAGCCACACAAAACTTGCTAATAGTATAAGAACGAGTTAGTCCTGTAACCGATGGCTAAGCGCCTATCTTATATTCTCAGCTTGCCTATACATCCAAAAATAAAATTTTCTTAGGTCTCCCGTTGCTTTCAGTCACCTTGGTGTGTTTATTTCAGGCTATAACTGTAATTGTATAGGAACGCATCAGTCTACTAAGTGCCTGTCCGTTTTTTGAGACATAGTATACGTCTAGAAGGCAATCGCGATTTAATAGACTCAGCAATTCGTAGGAGTAGAATACCCATTGAATGCTATTGTAAATAACTGAATCATTGTTCTCATGCAACGATTTGACCGTGGTCCGATTTCTAATTCACCCATGACCTAATCCTGACGAGAGATATCAACTTAAATTTTGCATGATATGTCTGAGTTTTAATAACATGTCGATTATAGACAATATTTAGCGTTTCTACCAATTGTATCTGCCTCCAAACACTGAATGTTAACAGTCTTGTGCTCATATCGTCGCGAAGGCTAATGGTCAGATGGTTTACCATACACAGTAACGGTTGTAGTGTTAGTCATAAAAGCAGAACCTTTCGGAGCGGTATTTGCGTGGATGAATGATGGGAATGTGTCTCACTCTCATGTCTGCCCGACGGTCTTGCTTTGACGCAGTGACTGGTATCTGAGCTAAACACTAAGGACAGACCGGTGACGGGCTTTCTAAGATCAGAGGAATAAATGCATGCTGTTGAGAGAGGGAGGCTGAAATTACCGGCCAAATGCTTCAAGTTAGTAGTTGGGATAACGCATACCTTTATTTGTATTGTCGGTTCAGACCAACCAGTTTTGTGCATTTATATTCAGAGTAAATTGTTGTAACGGTGACAAGCTGAGATGTCACCGTCTGATAACGCCCTGTTTGAATCCCCAAAAGGAGAACACAGCAACAAGGGCGCAAAAGTAGAAGCCACCCGAATGAGGATTTTGCTGTGTACAGAACCCGGAGTTGTTGTCTCGGGTAGCAGTGGCCACTGGCGAAGCCAGGGCAAGTGTTGACTGCGTCCAGTCACGCCTGAGGGCTGAGATGTAGCAGTTGCTTATAAGTGATTGTGAAGCGAGTTCAAATGTTGCATGATTGGTGTGTTGGATTACTCGAGGAGCGTCGAGTATTGAGGTCACCTGCTGCGTGGCCACAGGGCGGCGCGCTCACGTGTGTGTGCGGGTGAATATCCGTCCAGCGGTTTAAGGTTACCGAGTGGGGACAGTCACCAGCGCAGACAAATGACCTTGAGGCCGTTCACGTTGAACAAGGAAGCATTGTTAGCTGTCGGCCACAGGAGCGATTCGTCAGGACAGCCGGCAAGGTTATGCTGGCAGTTCGTTAGGCTGACCCCTAACGTAAATAACAGAAGCCCTCCACAACTCCAATTAAACCGTACAGGTATGCATGAACAATAGCTCATTTGCAAAGTTTTTATATAAGTTTTAGTATACGGAATGCATAAAATTAATAATGAAACAGAAATGGGAATGAGTCTATCATTTGCGAAATAACAACGAACAACACGTTAATTGCATGTATACTATTAAATTTTCATCAGAGCAGAGGTTAACGTAAACAAAACAATCTATTGACATGGAGACGGTAGTATTTTTTACAGTTATCTCAATAATCCCTTAGATAGGTTGTCGGGAGTTCGGGTTGCCCGTTAACAGGTGATTATCCAAACATCTCTTGAGCACACTCACCGTGGGGGAATGCACAGAATACGTTGATAGAGAGCTCCACTGACGAGTAACTCCGAGAGGAAAAGGAGAGCCTTGACTGATATCAATCACGTCTTTGGAGACTTTTTGATGCCGTTTCCAACTGCTCTTCCCAGTTAACATCCATATCAGTTAGATGAATGACTGTGCAAGCGGTTCTTCTAAGGCGGCGTGGCTACAGATGCATGCAACGACTAAAAAATACTTTAAGGGTCTGCCCCGACTAGCTGGAACTCAGTGACGTGACCTTGCAGGAGAGCGAAAGTCGCAAAAAGCGACGAAAGATGACGTGAAACTGGTGTTCTCAGTCAACATAAACCAATGACTAGTCGGAGTGAAGTCACCGAGACAGGACATCAAATGTGCCAGCTGCCCCCTTATTGTTATACTTCCTTCGTCGATTTTTGAGTCTGGCTCGACAGTACAGGCCATCTGGAGGCTGAAGTTGTTGGCACTACGACACTTCTAGTGTTAATACTAACTCTTTTTCAATGTCGAACCGGATACATAATTGTTCTGGTTCGCATTTTTGAAGTGCGTTTTTGCA